TGAAGCCCTAGGCATAGGCAGGGGGGATAATAGTGCTGGCATTTTCATTGTTGAGGAGGCAGGATATGTAACAACTAACAACTGTCAGCCAGTTTGGGAGTGATTTTTTTACCGTTATTTCATTATTCCAGCCATTATATTTGACTTCTTCTCTTATAGGTGGATCTCACTTTTCTCCTAACGGTCATAAAATCAATTCTCAAAATCACTCCCAAACAGGCTCTGTGTATGTGCACCAATTAATTCCACGGATCATCCTCCAAAACTTTTTAGTATGAAATGATTAATGATCTTGTTTCTTGATGGTGGCAAGTAATGCATGCAGTGGCGGAGCCACTTAGTGTCCAGTGCAGGCAAATGCCCGCACTGGACTCCAATTTTTTATCTTTTTTTTTTAATTTTTTTTTATTTTAAGCATTGGGTTTTACTTTTATTTATAGTCCAATCAATACACTAATTTACTCCAACTCCAAGTGCACGGTGACATTTTCTAACTCTTTCCCCTCGACAAGAAATTAAAAAATTTCCTTTAATCTACCATCGTTTTGAAATATTTTCAAAGTTCATTTCTTTCTTAAAACACACGTTTCCTTGGACCCTCAAATTTGTAGCAAAAAGTTTTTTGATCATGTGATTTTTCTATTTAATATTAGTGATTATGATTATGCGAATATTGAATATTGGTAATATTTGTGATGGATTCTTAAAATCTTGATTTTTGTCAATTAGTCAAACAATTAGTGATGATTTTCTGGTATTCTACCAATTTGTAAAAAATTGTAATTATTTCCTTATCAATTAGTATTTAATTGTCACTTGTATTTTATTTTAATGTGAAATGTCAATGGAGAGATTCTTTAAAAAAAAATATTTCGTAGAAAATGTTGATGAGGAGATATCGAATAAAATTGGTTTTTGATGTTGCACAACTTGCTACAGATCCTAGAATAAGGAAGAAGATGATAATTTTATTAGTGTTGTCACTATATCTTTTTTAGCATTATTGTAATATCATTAAATCTATAATCGAAAAGTTCGACATTGACTAAATTTTGCCCGCACTAGACAAAATTCTTGGCTCCGCCCCTGAATGCATGGACTGATGGACATCGCCAGTTTAGTAGGTAAATCCAGATCAAAATCACATTGCTCATTTAAGACAACATATATCAAGATTCCTTTTGTTCCCTTCTCCCCAATGTATGTACACCAAGCAAATGAGAGATGAACGCCAACACACAAAGAACGCAGAAAATGGCAGCATCACCTTTGAGATCAAAAGCCCTTCACCATGTCCGTTTCAGTTGGATCACATCCTTCCATCACTCAATTTTACGACTACTTGTCCAAATTAGTAGATTCAGCCCCCCCCCCCCCCCCCCCCCCCCCCCCCCCCCCCCCCCCCCCCCCCCCCTTCATCATTGTCATCAATGAGAGACATAATGAGTTTTCTCCGTAACTTATATGAGAATATTGAAAAGTTGCTTCTGTTGAAGAAATACTGGCTAATGGATTCTTGTGCAACTTCTAAAGATCTTTACTCCCATATAAAGCAACATGTACAGGACCTTCTTTCTGCTCTCAGAAGAAGGGATGCAAATGATTTCTGTGTCTACCTGAAAATGATGATTAAAAAGCCTCTTAAAGTCAATAACAAACACAATTACCAAGCCTTTGACATGAATAATCAACAAGAAAAATGGCGGTTTTGTATTTGTTAAAGGAAGCCGAATCAGTAAGTATGGCCACGCTAGAGTCTCAGTTGGCCTACATGGCCTGGACAAAGGTTGCATCGAGGCAGAGTTGTTGGTCTTTGATATATGCACACCAAGAAAGTATCCAGCCAAGATGAAGTAACAGAATCAAATGAGTTCAGCAAGCTGGATGCTGCCTCGAGCTCACTCATCAGTCAAGCAACGAACATGGAAGAAGATGTAGAAGTTGATCAACTTATGAATCACTTAAAAAAGATGGAATCAACCATTCGAATTCTTGAGGAAGGGCATGAATACCTGTTCTGACGATTGATCAAAGCCCAAGTTTATCTCCTCAACATTCTCAACCGCTAGCACTTGGTACCCAAATTATGTGTGAATGCAAGAGAGAAAAAATGATGATAATTATACAACATGTAGTCATGTGGATGAAAATATTCTTGTATATACCAGTTCATAATCAATTATAAAAGAAACATACAATTTTGCTAGATGACTCTTCCAGTTTATTAATCTTTGTGCCTATTTAACTAATTTGTGGTGAGTCCAAATATTAATATCCAAACTGCTCAGTATCGATAATTATGAATTTGGCTAGACCAGTTTCAAATTTTGCTAGTAGAGGCTAATTTCTATTTTTCACGGATAAGATAAACAAATTATGCAGTAAAATTTAAATTAATTAGAGACATGAAGCAGAAAAATTTATCTCTAGGAACTAATAATGCAGAAATTGAATTGTACAAGGTTGGAAATCAGAAAATTATTTACAACTGAATAACCTGGCATGACACATGCATCAATAAATAATTGAGGCTGTGCTTCGTGGCCGGACTATAAGTAGTTTTGGTGATCTTATGGTCCATTTGGAGGGATAGGAACTCGAAAAAACTTATGGCCCCTCCATGTTGGCATTCCTTACGCACTAGAACTCACCGTTAGGAGGCACAAACCACTAGTCTAGAAAAAGGTTCAACAACTGTTTGTACTCCGATTGTCAAGTCAACTGCTGGACGAAACATGAGTGCAAGAGAGAGAGGAGATTTGGTTAGAGTTAGAAAAACATTACCTTAATGGTGGATGGACTCACCTATATATAGAGAAATAGAAATGGGTCCAGTGGGTTAATAGAACAAGCCCAAGCCCTAGACGAATTTGCTTGATTTAATAGGTCCAATCCAATTAAATAATTGAAGCTGAGTTGGCCATGTGAGACCCCCTCTGTTACTCGTACTATAGATATAACAGTCAGTGGCGGATTCAGGTGGTGGCGAGTTAGGGCGGCCGCCCTAGCTGGATCCGTCGGGATTATTTTATTTATTTATTTATTATTTTTTTTGTGTTAACAATAGATTAAATTTTTATCTTATATCTCTGATAATTGATTTTACTTTCAAACATCCCTTGTAGCTTACTTGGTTAGAGCCAAGCAAATGTTGTGATAAACTTAACTATTATGGTACCTTTTGAATTGTGTTACTAAATTTAACAAAATGATATTTGTTAGGTTTTGACTGGTTTAACGTAAACAATTTTAAAGATACGAATTCACACTCTTCTTTGAATTATACAAAACTTGGCAATAATGTTATTTGATGAGTTCTATTTAGTTTTATAATAGAATTATATATATTCAGTTTGAACAAAATAATTGTTATATTTATACTTTAGGCCTTGTTCGATTCCTTTTTTTTTTAAATACATTTTTTCTTTCTTCTTTTCATCCATACTTTTTCAAAAAAATAATATTATAAGTAAATTCAAAACTTTTCTTTATTTTTAGTTACACGTTCTCCATCAAATCACTATTCAAAAATGTATTTTTTGCAAAAAAATGATATCAAAAGGACTTAATATTTTATTGCGGCCAACGACCGCCCATGCTGACTCAAACTCCTGAATTCGCCCTTGATAACAGTGTGAATGCCATAAACAACCCATCAATTCATGCCCCTGAAGGAGCTGTTATCAGGTCCATTTTGGAAACGATGGGATCCTTCACAGATGTTGCACGTTCTTTGATCCGACGGGTCTTGCAAAGTGAGCAATTTCTCGACTACTTCGAATGGACTGGATATACTCCTAGTTGCATTGTAAAAATTAATGCAGTCAGAAAATAAACAAAATAATCATTGCAAAAAAATTTCAAATAATTCCCACCACATTCTATCAACACGCAACTGAGTGACCTGCTAATGGTATTCCATCTTCAAACATTCTACAACAATATCTACCGAAGCAGAAGAACCTGTGATGATTATAAAATCACAGCAAAATTCATAAAAGACAATCACCATCAAGAAGGCTAATTTACAATCGCATAATGCCGCCAAGAATAAAAGAAATGATAAAATTATCTACCTTCTTCCTTACAAGTTCTCAGAAGGCAAACAACCGAAACTTTTTATGTAAAACAAATCCATAGAAGGTTGATCAATCCAAAATCTTTACCAACATTCCCTAACATATTTCACACTATTATAACCAACCACTTAAAAGTACAGTAGATAGCCAGTTGTCCATCGCCAACCAATGCAAATGCTCAATCATTTAAAAAAAGAGCAAAAACTTCTAAGAAATTACAAAATGTTTTTTTACCAAAGCATAGCTTTGAATGGAAATGACTCAAATGCTCAGTCTCTTCAATATTATTATCATGTAGTTAAACAGGTTGAGCTTTCAGGCGTAACTTTTCGACTTCAATTCATTTGAACGTATACAGATTTACGTATCACCGGCCAAGCAACTCCAGAGTTGAAAAATATAAAGATTTCACAGTTTTACTCATCAGAACCTTGACTTTACAAATACTAAAACAGCTACTTTCCAGCAAAACATGAGAAAATGTAACGCTTGTTTCTTATAGCAGCATCTGTAAAAAAGTATTGTTACTATTGGAAGTCTAGAAAAAGAGGAGTTCCAAAATTATATTTTGACTACATTTAGTTTTTGTTGTTTGTGTCAATTTTAGATTTCAATTTGCCTTTGCAGATCAGGGGACAGGCAGGGCACCTGAGATCTTGCTAAGAAAACTTCATCCATGAAAAGATCATTTTAAAGTGTATGCCGTAGGAAGCTATTGTGTGAAGCCCTCAATTTATTATGAATAAATTAATGTTTTTACATGTTTAGTCCGGTGTGAAACAAAAAATTCACATTTTTACTAATTCTATATTGAAGCCATAATTTGCGAAATGTGTTCTGTAACCTCAACAACTACATGACAATAAATTTTCCCTCGTCTCAAGTGGAAGGAAGTGATAAGATAATGAACATCTATCAGCAGCCATGGGCAAAAGCAGAGCTTCCTCAACATCTTTGGTTGCGTTCTTTTGGATCAAAGAAATGGCATAATCCAAAAATACATCATCATAGAGACAATGTGATTGGTCCATCACTTGGTAGTCCAACTCTTCTTCTGACATTATGAGTAGCTCCCTCAACAAGTGATTGTTGAGATAGGCTATGAGGAAAGCATATCGTTGTTTATCAGTCGTATATACAATAAGATGGCCTTTTTCAGCCAAAGAAGGTAAAATGCTATAGGTACAAAATGCTATAGGTATTAGCTTCCTCGTTCTCTCTTGGAATTGTAATCCATTTTCTTCCAAGGGCTTCCAGTCTTTGCCACTTCCTTTCCATCTTTATAAGTTTTCTCTAACTAATATGATGGTTTTGTAAAGCAAAGAGGAAGAGAGAGAGAGAATTTTCTGGGAAAAAATATCAGTACATAAAACCCCATGACCTGCTGCCATTATATATATATATATTACAAAAGCTTACTACCTTGCTTCTAGTCAACAACTTCCTACCAACTACAACCTTACCTGTTGACAGAATAAACCATGTTGTGATAGTGTTAATGTGATGTCCATTTTGCTGTCCACACTTTCTGTGTATTGCTTATGTATTAGTTTAATTATAATGTCAATCATAATAGCTTCTTAAACTATCAAATGGTGGTAGTAGTTGGTAAGAAGTGGTTGGCCAAAGCATGGTGACAATATCCTTTTGTATCTTATATAATATATGATGTGTAATGAAAGAATGATTTTTGCCCTGCCTCTTTTTGCCTCTGTGATTTCAATTTCTCCTTCCTCTTTGTATCAAGTATTGTACAACAGTGGTATCAGAGCAAAAGGATCTTAGAGAAAAAGACAAGGTTGTGAGACAGAAAAAGAGAGAAAACAAGTGAGGAAACTTCTACCAAAACCTTCACCATATCAGCCGAAAAAATCAGACCTGAGAGGGATGGCTTCAAGTGGTTTTTCAGCTCCATTACCATCTGTGTTTACAGGAGAAAATTATGACTTTTGGGTAGCAAACATGAAGGCATACCTGAGAGCATATGACCTGTGGGAAATCACAGAAATAGGTATTGAACCACTACCTTTAAGGGCAAATCCTACCATAGCTCAGTTGAAGCAACATAGTGAGGAGGTAGCAAAGTAATTCAAGGCTTTGTCTTGCATCTAATCTGCAGTTTCTGATGCGATTTTCACCAGAATAATAACTTGTGAGACGGCCAAGGAAGCTTGGGATAGATTACAAGAAGAGTTCAGGGGAAATGCAAGAACAAGGCAGATGCAGGTTTTAAACTTAAGAAGGGAGTATGAAACCTTGAAGATGAAGGACTCAGAAGCTGTTAAAGAATATGCTGACAGGCTGATGAAGGTGGTAAATAAAATAAGGCTTTTGGGAGATGACTTACCTGACAAGAGGATTGTAGAGAAAATTTTGATCAGCTTGCCAGAAAAATTTGAGGCAAAGATCTCCTCACTTGAAGATTCTAGAGATCTGTCTTCTATAACTTTATCAAAGTTGGTTAATGCCTTGCAAGCTACTGAGCAAAGAAGACTATTAAGGCAGGAAGAACAGGTTGAAGGTGCCTTATTTGTCATAGGAAAATATAAAGCTCAAACAAGTTATGGAGTGAAGAAGCAACCACATGAAAAAAAGAAGGTTGAATTCAACAAGAATGCTGGTAAGAGTGATGATTATCCTCCCTGTCCTCATTGCAAAAAAATCAGGTCACTCTCCAAAATGGTGTTGGTACAGACCAGATGTTCAATGCAGAGCATGTAAGGAGTTTGGACATGTTCAAAAAGTGTGCAAAAGCTGGAAGGAGAAGTCATTACAGTAGCAAGTACAAGTTGCTGAAAATCAGCAACCAAACCTGAATGAAGAGCATCTATTTACAGCTACAAATCATAAGATGAGTAGTGAAATTGGAACTTGGCTACTGGACAGTGGTTGCACACATCATATGGCTTTAGATTTAAGCATCTTTGTTGAGTTAAATAATACATACAAATCAAATGTGAAGGTAGGAAATGGTGATTATGTGAAAGTAGAAGGAATTGGTGTGATTGCTGTGAGAACTTCAACAGGTACCAAACATATTCCCGATGTACTTTATGTGCCAGATATTGATCAAAATTTAGTAAGTGTGGGTCAATTGATTGAGAAAAATTATACTTTGGTATTTAAGGATAGTGGTTGCACTATATTTGATCCAAGTGGAAATGAATTAATGATAGTAGAAATGAAGCAAAGAAGCTTCCCTTTAGAATGGAAAAATTTGACCTCTCATGCATACTCCTGTACTGATGTGAAGTCTTCACTTTGGCACAAACGGTTTGGTCATGCAAATTTCACTTCACTTAAACAAATGCATAAGATGGAACTTGTTGAAAATTTGCTTGACATATGTGATGATAGTTGTGTATGTGATATCTGTCAACTTGGAAAGCAAACAAGACTACCATTTCCTAAAAATCAGTCAAGAAGAGCCTTAAAAAAGCTGGAATTAATCCACTCTGATGTTTGCGGTCCAATGAGAACACAAACACTAAATGGCAGTAGATATTTTATACTCTTTATTGATGATTTAACAAGGATGTGTTGGGTGTATTTCTTGAAAATGAAGTCTGAGGTTGCTGGTGTATTTCAAAAGTTCAAAAATCTGGTGGAAAATGAGAGTAAATGCAAGATTAAAGCCATCAGGACATATAATGGAACTGAATACAAGAATGATCATTTTGACAAGTTTTGTGATGCTGTGGGGATCAAACATCAGTTGACAATGCCATATTCACCACAACAAAATGGAGTTTGTGAAAGGAAGAATAGGACGGTGATGAAAATGGCAAGATGTTTGATGCTTGAGAAGAAGATTCCAAAGGAGTTTTGGGCTGAAGCTGTGAATACAGCAACCTATCTTCTGAACAGATTACCAACAAAAGCCTTGAACAAGCTAACTCCTTTTGAAGCTTGGTATGGAGTTAGGCCAAATGTCTCACATTTGAAGGTGTTTGGGAGTATATGTTATACTCATATGCCTGATGTAAAAAGGGATAAATTGAGTCCAAAGGCAGAGCTTGGAGTTTTAGTTGGTTATTGTGACAATGCTAAAGGATATAGAGTCTATAATCCTCAAACCAAGAAGATGATGTCCAGCAGGGATATCAAGGTGGATGAAAATTCTTCATGGAATTGGGAAGCAAGTACCTTGGATAAACTTCAAGTTCCAATGTTGGTAACTCAAGAAAATGAAGACATCATCAATGAAGATGAACCTAAACAAGACAGTGACTCAGAAAATGAAGTGCTAAGGACCAGGTCTCTTGCTGATGTTTACGCTAGATGTAATTCAGCCGTGTTAGAGCCTTCAAACTTCAATGAGGCAATGAATTCACTTGGTTGGATGGCTGCAATGAAGAAGGAGCTTAATATGATTGAAAAGAATGAAACTTGGGTGCTAGTTGATAGACCAAAAAAAAAATAAAAATGTGATTGGTGTTAAATGGGTGTACAAGACCAAAGTGAACTTTGATGGATCTGTCAACAAGCTCAAAGCCAGATTAGTTGTAAAGGGTTATGCTCAACAATATGGTATTGATTACACAGACACATTTGCTCCTGTGGCCAGGTATGAAACCATCAGATTATTGCTTGCAATTGCTGCTCAAAGTGGTTGGAAAATTCATCAATTGGATGTGAAGTCTGCCTTCCTAAATGGTTACCTAAATGAAGAAATTTTCATTGAGCAACCTGAAGGCTTCTTGGTGGAAAGAAATGAAGATAAGGTGTATCTTTTGAAGAAGGCATTATATGGCTTGAAGCAGGCTCCAAGAGCTTGGTACAGCAGGGTTGATGAGCATTTGAGCTGTCTTTGTTTTGTGAAAAGTGTCAATGAGCAAACCTTATACATTAAGCAAGTGGAGGAAGAATCAATCATTATCTCTCTGTATGTTGATGATCTTCTAATAACCGACAGCAATGAACATTTAATTGACAAAGTAAAAGCTGAAATGATGTTGGCATTTGAGATGACTGATTTGGGGAAAATGAAATACTTTCTTGGAATGGAAGTGAATCAATCACAAGAAGGTATTTTTATCTGTCAAAGGAGGTATGCTAAAGAAATTTTGAAGAAATTCAGTATGGAAAATTGCAAGCTGGTAAAGACTCCCTTGGTTCAAAATTTGAAGCTAGTAAAAGATGATGAGAGTCCAAAAGTAGATGAGAAAGTGTATAGAAGTTTGGTTGGAAACTTGCTGTATTTAACCATTACCAGACCAGACATCATGTATGCTACAAATTTGCTCTCACGATTTAGACAAGAGCCAAGTGTTTTGCATTTTCAAGCTGCAAAAAGAGTGCTCAGATACATCAAAGGAACAACAGACATGGGAATCTGGTATAGGAAGACAGAAATGTTGGAGTTAATTGGTTATACAGATAGTGATTAGGCCGGATCATTGGATGATATGAAGAGCACCTCTGGATATACATTTTACTTAGGATCAAATATAATTTGCTGGAACTCCATGAAGTAAAAGACCGTGGCTCAATCAACAGCAGAATCATAATATGTGGCTGTATCAAAAGCTACCAATCAGGCCGTTTGGTTGAGGAAAGTGCTGGATGATTTGTATGTTAATCAAGCTGATACAACAGTTATTTTCTGTGATAACCAATCAGCTGTTGCAATGGTTAAAAATCCGGTGTTTCATGGAAGAACAAAGCACATCAAGATCAAGTATCATGCAATTAGGGAAGCACAAGAGAATGGAGAAGTGAGGATAATGCATTGCAAGTCTGATGAACAATATGCTGATATTTTTACCAAGTCTTTAACTAAAGAAAGGTTCGAAACACTTAGGAAAAATCTTTATGTTTCCAGCCAAAGTGCCAAGGAGGAATGTTAATGTGATGTCACTTTTGCTGTCCACAGTTTCTGTGTATCGCTTATGTATTAGTTTAATTATAATGTCAATCATAATAGCTTCTTAAACTATCAAATGGTGGTAGTAGTTGGTAAGAAGTGGTTGGCCAAAGCATGGTGACAATATCCTTTTGTATCTTATATAATAAATGATGTGTAATGAAAGAATGACTTTTGCCCTGCCTCTTTTTGCCTCTGTGATTTCAATTTCTTCTTCCTCTTTGTATCAAGTATTGTACAATAGATAGTCATTTTAATCACCAAAAATAAACATTACAACTGATTATAATACATATAATTGCTACAAAATATGACAGCAAAAATGACAATAGATGTCAATACTCCTCCTTGACATTTTTGCTGGAAACACCAAGGTTTTTTCTTAATGTTTCAAACTTTCCTTTGGACAAGGACTTGGTAAGTATGTCAGCTTATTGATCTTCAGCTTTGCAGTGTACCAGCTTCACTTCATGATTTTTCTTGTGCTTCTCTGATTGCATAATACCTGATCTTAATGTGTTTTGTTCTTCCATGGAACACCAGATTTTTTACCATGGCTACAGCTGATTGATTGTCACAAAAAATGATAGTTGCATCAGTTTGTTTAGCATCCTAAT